TCTGGGAACCATTTCCATATACAGTGAGGCAGTACTGGACGCGCGAGATGACGAGTGCAGTCACGATCGTTTTGAGGATACCGTCTGGGAGGCAGTGTCGTGCGTGGGAGAGGCCGATCAGTACGCCCATGCAGCGACGGCTCAGCTCGGCCACGTGTGCTTCCCAGGTGAGTGCGCCGTCGAATACAACACCCAGGTTTCCCACCTGCGCGCACGGCAGGAGCTCAGCGTCACGGAAAGAGATTTTGAAGCGAGGCAGGTTACGTAGGTTTTGTCGGCTACCGAATACCATCAGTTGAGTTTTAGAAGCGTTGACTTTCAGGGCGTGTGCGCAGAACCATGCGTTAAGTGACTATAGCGATGCCTCCATGCGCGAGATGAGACTCCTGATGTCGTTGCGTGGGCCGCTCACCAATATCTGGGTGTCGTCTGCGTACTGATAAGCGGTGGCGTCTCCGGCAAATAGTGAGAGGTCGTTGGAGAATATAGTGAAGAGGAGGGGACCCAAAGCCGAACCCTGGAAAACTCCTACGGTGTTTGGGAGCGGTCGAGAGGTTATCTTACGGCCGGTTTTGTCTTTCAGGGATACACTCTGCGTGTGTCCCTGAAGATAAGCGGAAAACCAGGAGGTCTCAATACCGTAGATTTGGAGCTTTTTGACAAGGAGTTCATGGTCAATGACGTCAAAACATTTGCTAAGGTCTATGAGGCATAGCATTGAGATCTCACCCCTATCGGTGGCGGCAAGGATGCTATCTGTGACTGACAGCAGTGCAGTCTCAGTGGAGTGTCGGGGGCGGAATCCGTGTTGGGTAGACGAAAGAAGGTGGTTATGGGTGAGATAGTGATAGAGCTGCTGATGGATTACACGCTCGATGATTTTCATGATTACGGGAACTAGGGAGATCGGTCTGAAATTGCTGGGGTCAGATGGGTTGCCCGACTTGAAGATCGGTTGAACGATAGAGTGTTTCCAGGGGTCAGGAATGTCGGAACGGGTGATTGAGACGTTAATGATGTGTAAAATGATGTCGCCAATAGTTTGGAAGCATACTTTTAACATGCGGATGCATATACCGTCAGTGCCACGCGCGGCAGAGTTTCGCATGCTGAACACTGTGAGTCCGAGTTCCCCGAGAGTGATGGCCCTCGGCCTAAAGCTGCATGCGCCGACACGGGGTAGACGTACATTTAGATCAGTATCGTTGTTTTGGGTACTCAGTTCGGTGGCAATGCGGGGCCCGACAGAGACGAAGAAGGAGTTCAGATCGTCGGGAGATAGATCGGGCTGAATATTTGGACCATCTTTCTTTCCAGCGATCACTGATTTGATGCTTTGCCAGACTTTGTTTACCCCACGCTCGCTGATCTCGTTTTGGAGGACGTGACGGCGGTCTCGGCGTAAGGCGGCACGGACGGAGCGGTTAAGAGCCTTATACTCGGGAGACTCGCGGCCTAGCCGACGTAACGCGGAGCGACGCCTGGACATAATGTCGCGGGTGGCGGCAGATACAGGGGGCGCTGTAGGATTTCTTATCAGCACATTTTTGAGGGGGGCATGGTCGTCGAAGACAGGTAGAAAGTTGTCTAAAAAGACCTGCCACTTGTCAGCAACAGACGTCGAGTTATAAACTTCCTGCCAATCGACACTCAGCAGCTCTTGGTTGATAGAGTGAACGTCCACTTGGTTAAGTGATCTAGATTGGATGACAGTTGGTTTGAGGCGCTGCTTAGGCACGTCGACGGTCACGTGGATGAGTTTGTGTGGGTTAGATAAGCACGTGGAGGATGTGGGGGTGTTGGCTAAATTTCATCGCACGTATTGTAACAAGTCCAGTGTAGAGTATTGCATATGAATCTCCATTCGCTTGATCCTTTCTCCTGTGTTTCAAAGAGCTTCTCACACGGATTCTGAGAGTAAAGGTTTAAGAAAATGGTACCCAGTAATGTAACATCATTGCAACGTGATCGCATTTATTTTGTCCACATTGTAACGTTCCACCCTTCACGTCCTGTCCACACTGCGATATGTGCCGGGCACCCGGTCTGACGGTCGGTTCCTGGTCGACAGGTCCCAGTCGGTGTACACCAAGGACCGCCGCTGTGCCCAGGAGGGGGGCCGCGCCGGCATCACAGCCGCTCAGAGCGTGTACCCTCGGATCGGCGGCGGCGGCGGCCTGGCGCAGACAGAGTCCATGTACGCCACCCGCAGCTGCGCGCGCCAGGAGCCCACCTACGCCGACCGCCGCGCCGCCGCCGCCGAGCAGGCCGAGGCGCACAAGCCGCTGTATTCTACCAAGGAGGACGCGCTGTCCTACAGCACTGCCACCACCCAGTTCACGGCCAGCTCACGGGCCGACGACTACGGCCATTACCCGGCGGTGTCACGGCACGACGACTACGCCGTCTACGGCAAACAACCAGAGCTGTACTCCAAGCCGCAGTACCCGAGTTACCAGTCGGCGGCCGCTGAGAACGCGCACAACCAGCGCAGTGCCGCCGGCCGGTCGCACGGCTCCGCGCCCGGCGCCGGCGGCCTGCCGTCCTACGGCGCCTACTCGGGCCGCTCGGGGCCGCCGCCGCCGCCCCCGCCGCCGAGGAACGGAGACATGATGTCCCCGCGGTCCGTGGCCGGGTCGGAGACGACCTCCGGGCTCACCACGCCCAACTCGGTGAGCTCCTACCGCTGAGCCAAAGGTGAGCTCAGCGGGTCGAAAAACAGGGGGCCAAGCTGAGCGAGCGAGGTGGGCTGAGTGGACTGCTCCGCTGCCGCTTGCGTACGAGAGACTGACAGGGCTGGTCCCTGAGGTGGTAGCCTGGCTGTAGTCATCACACTGACTCATCCGATGCTTCATTTGATACTCGAGATCGGTCCGGCCTCCTCCGAAGCCCCAACAAGTGCGGTGAGTCGAGCACGGGAACCTGATCCTGGTTGGATACGTGTTATTCCGTGCAGTCCAGCGCCGTGCTCATAGCGATCTTTGTGATGATTCTAACACGTGCCACGTAGTCACGTGCGGAAGCGTTCCACGTGTAATACTGGATACGCCGCTGCGGTAAAGACAACCTGTGTGAAGCGGCGCGTCAGACTTGAGGTAGCGTCAAGCGCCATCTATCGCACGTTTCCACAAAACAAGGTTCGCACCGTCAGCGCCAGAAGTACAGAACGGGAGGGTCAGTGGCTTCTCCTCTGCCGCCGCCTTGCAGCCTGGACTGTAGTGACCAAGCAACCGGAGTGAGGTCTACAAGTGGATTGTGTGCCACCTTCCAGAAGCAAGAGCAAGAGCAGACTCGCTTCAGTAGAAGATCGGGTATTTATTTCATACCTGACCGTTTCATTGTCATGTGTGGCAGTGTCATGCCGATTTGTCATGCGTCATGTCGATGTGTCATGTGTCATGCTGTTGTGTCATGTGTGTTGCAGTATGCCTTGATGTCATGTATCATTTGTTGATACTGGTATGTAGGTGAGTTAACCCGCGACCCAGCTCAGCTCACTGGTCCTGGCACGGCTGCCAGCACGCTCTGAGCGCGTTCACATGACACCCTCTTCCGGTCAGCGGATACGGCTCAGATCCTCCGTTTGTCGCGGCTGGCTGTGCTCGCACGCTGACTGAGTGTCAGTGTAACCGGCGGATATGCTTCCTTCGTCTCGGATCGTACCGAGACTGAGAGGAGGTAACTAGTCGCCGGACTGGCTACGGCGCCCGATTCGAGCGATTAACGGAGAGCCCGACGGGCAGGCTCCACCGAGGCAACGAGTCTTTTTTAATCGTGTTCAGCACAGATGTCCGTTTCATTGTACCACGTGTTTTAGTTCCCTGTACTGATGTGCCAAGTCATGTGTTCGTTGTACATTTGTGTTTTTGTTTGTCAAGGGCAGAGTTGGCAGACAAAGCGTTGTAAAGACCGTAGAGATGAACCATTGCTGACGCACGGTACATGTGTAATGTTCGTGGCGGTTGATGTTTGCATCGACAGTATTGTATTGCATAGGCTGAAGAGCGAATACACTTGATAATTATTTATTGCAGTCTTTATTATTGTACATGGTGATAACTACGATGTTCTCTATATTTTTTTTCTGTATCTACGAGCTACTTGTTGACTAATAATTGAAACGGGCGAGTCAATTCAATTCATGTATTTAGCAACTTTCCACTTTACAGTGGCTGTTTAAAAGTTACACGTCTTACAGTCAGTCGTTAGGAAATTGGTATGCCGGCCCCGTTGCAGCATCATAATCAGGCCTTGGCCTGGCATGCCCGGCTGAATTGGAGCGATAAACATTAGCGCCGCGCCGGCCCACTGCACTGCTGGTTAGGTGCCGCTGGATGCTGTGATGACTAATGACACATTCGCTGGCTGTGTGGTATCGTGTGGTATAGCCAGCGGTCTGGAACAGCTATAACAGACGGTATGTGCTGGGTCACTGAACTTTATAGGCTCTTGCTCTGGCCATGGCACCTAAATGAGGGTTTCGTATAGCGCAATGCGACGTTAATGTCGTGTGCAATGTGGCATGTGAAAGTTTATACGAGAAAGGCAAAAACGACCGAAAATATTCGCTACGAATCACCGAGAGCAGGACGCCTTGTTCACATTTTCTTGATTTGCCATAGACATGCATTACAATCCATATAAGTTCGCTAAGGGCTGCAGAACCGGTCCAAGCACAAAGGGCGCATGGGCTGCACGCTGCTTGGTTCGGGGTGCGGGAGGCGGCGCTATCCACCGGCGACTATGGGGCGGATGTTATGTAAATGTATCGGGTCTGACGGATGTTCCAGCTCTGATAGCGCGCCGTCAGCCCGTTGATCGCGCGCAGTCGGGCGCCGAAGCCCCGCGGGAGACGGTCCCGGCGTGACGGGCGGCCGTTTCGACACCGGCCGGCACGCGAGACCTTGACGGGGCGGTAGGCGGGGTAGCGGGGGCGCTCTGCACCCTGCAGTGCACGCCGGCAGCCGGCAGTGCGGCGCAGTCCGCCCGGCCGCGCAGACATGCTGTTGGCGCTCGCCGCGCTAGTGTTCCTGGTGCTACTGCTGGTGGTGTGGCCGCGCCGGCCGGCCGGCGGCCCGCCCGGTCCCACGCCGGTGCCCGTGCTCGGCACATTGGCATTCCTAGGCGCGCGCACCCGCACCGAGCTGTTCAACACGCTGCAGACTCTCTCGGAGCGCTACGGCCACGTGGTGGGGTTTTTCGCCGGCGCCACGTACCACGTGTATGTGGAGGGTTTGGCGGCAGCGCGGCGCGCTATGGCCGAGCCGGCGGCGCACGGACGCGCCGCGGGCTCCGCTCAGATGGCCCTGTCGTTCGGCCGGCCGCGCGGAGTGATCGTGGCCGAGGGAGACCGCTGGAGGACCAACTCGGCCTTCCTCTACGCCACCCTGGAGGAGATGATCAGCTCCGGCGAGGCAGAGCGGTTCATCTGCGAGGAGCTGACGCGGCTGTGCGACCGGCTGCGACTGGGCACGGGCAGCGCGGTGCCCGTCCAGTCGCTGTTCCGGCAGCCGTACGTGGCGCTCAGCTGGCGGATCGTCACCGGGTGTCGGCTGCCCGAGCAGCAGGCACAGCGGCTGACCGCCCTGCTAGCCGCCGAGCTGGCCGGACTGCAGAACGGCTGGGTGGACAGTCCGCTGCTCCGCCGGCTCGCCCCCGAGCGCAGCGGGTACGCAGATGTGCTCCGCTTCAGAGACGAGCTGCGAGCCACGTTCGCCGCCACCGTCAGCGACTCGCGCTACCGGGACGGCACGCTGGTGGCGCGACTGCGCGCTAAGCGCGGCCCCGGCTGGCGGCCGGCAGACGACCAGGACCTGGTCATGTTCCTGTTCGACTTCCTGAACGCCGGCTGCGAGACGACGAGCTCCTTCGGCGAGTGGTCGCTGCTGTACCTGCTGCGGGAGCCGGCCGAGCTGGGAGCCGTGCGCGCCGAGCTCGACACGCTGGGCTTCCTGGCGCGCGGCGCCGACATGGTCCGGCTGCCGCGCACGCGCGCCTTCCTGTCAGAGGTGATGCGGCGCTCGTCTCTGACGCCGGCCAGCGTGCCGCACCGGGCCACGGCGCCGCTCACCATCGAGGGGTTCTCGGTGCCTGAGGACGCCGTGCTGCGGTACGGCATCCAGTCCACCCACTGGGACGGCCGGCTGTGGCCGCAGCCGGAGCTGTTTCGCTCGCAGCGCTTCCTGCGGGACGGTCAGTTTGTGTCCAGCGATGACCTGGCGCCGTACGGCGTGGGCGCGCGCCGGTGCACGGGTCGCCGACTGGCCGAGCTGTACACCTTCCTCATGGTGAGCTGGCTGGTGCAGCAGCTGGACGTGATGCCGCCGCCCGGACAGATGCCGCCCGACGAGGACGCCGAGATCGCGCTCACTCGCAACTGTCTGCCGTACCGAGCCGTGTTCAGACCGCGGGCCGACGGCGGACTCGGCGGCGTGAGGACGCAGTGATGGGACATGACTGGGGATCGGGATGGCGCGCGTGACGGACTGGGCACAGTGACGGAGTGGGACGCAGACGGGATGAAACAAAACGCCCCGCAGTGAAGGGACACAAGTGTCCAGCGACGGTGTTAGTGACGTGACGCAAATATGACGACGGGTTGCAACTCAGAGTGATGAAAGACGAGGGGCACAGCTGAAGATGGATCGCAGTGAAGAGCACGACAAGCACGTCCTAGGCAGTGTCGAGGCGTCGAGCGATCTCTTTTGCTCTTGAAGAGCAGTGAAACTCGTCACGTGAGACAATGGTCACTGAATGGACATACTTTGCCCAACATCGATGGTTACGTGTGTGACTGCGTCTTAGCGGTAAAAATGTGAGATTTTTGTCACAGATGGATGTCCATCCCTAAATGTAACAACCCTCTCGGTATGGCCTAGGCGTACATACAAGTCAAATACCATGTGAAATTGAAAGTGAGACACCAAAAACTGCAAGGGGTGTATCGACGGTAATTAAGGAACCGAAACTGTCAACACACCAAGTCAGTGCATAACCAGTTGATGTCCCGATAAAATTTATGCACTGAGCCCGAAGCTCTGTAAGGGAATGAAGTTGAAATACACTGCCAGCCGTTTAACGTGCTTCACCGGCCTGAGCCTTCATCAAAGCTATCCGTTCTGGTTAGTCATGGGTAGGTAAACAATAATCATATCGTCACCGTTGTCCGTTCTTGCATCAGTCCATGGTGGTGTTACTGTCAGCCTTCTGAGTAAGCCGCACACCGCCGCAGTGAACCTCTGCGCTGCGGTAACTCGGTAAACGTAAACTCAGCCACCGCGGCACCCAGTGCCCTGAGCGGAAAGGTCAAAGACGCTGGAACTGACCATCGTGTCGATACCCGGACAGTATTGCGACTGATGTGGAGGTGAATTTCGACGAAAATAAAACATTTAGTGTTCCGGTTTGTTAGCCCCGTCGCATTTACAAACAGCTTTCAAAAAGGTGGCGTTATTATTGGTTTTTTTTTTCGAGGCATGATTGGCTTTGTCGACAAGTCACATGATTGAGGAGAATCCCCGTTCCACTGTTTTCTGTCCGGCTGGCTGGCAGTCCCAGCCGACGGTGCCTCACAGCACAGCTCAGCTCTGGCACGGCATGGCAGCTGCATGTCATTGAATCAATTGAATTGCAACGCGGTCGACCGCGACGCCGAATCGCCGGCGGCCGACACGGCAGGCTGGGGCATCAGTGGTCGTTTATAGAACCAGTTGGCGACGCTAACTCAGTGGTGGGTTCAGTGTGGAGCCAGTCCCACCACCCCACGCCACACTGGCATCCATCAAACTATCGCGCCAGGTCCAGTAACAGCGCTGATCGGACCGAGCCACCCAGGAGCTGGGGTTTGAGCGAAACAGCCGGTCCAAATGCGGCTCAAATGCGGTCCAAATGTCGCCGGTCCAAATGCGGCTCACGCTCGCTTGCTGAAGACGGTGCCTTCCGCGGGAACTTGCTTTCACTTTTGGAAAAAAAATAATGTCAATGCCTAGCTCGGCGAAAACGATCATTGCACCTGATCTAGGCCGCTCATTATGTTACCATCCTGACTGTCATCTGGTTTTCGTCGGTCATTTGAGCCATACGGTATATTGTTATTCAAATGTTTGTTATTAACAAACATGAAGGAATGATAACATATATTCTTATCTACGCCGTAACTTTTTAACGTTTCCTTTGAGAATGTCAGTTCATCTCTCGTACTAAATCTGAGCTGTGCCCTCCACTAAACCCCTCACTCAGCGGGGAGGGTGTCGCCGCCGGCACGGGCTCTCATTTGCACTGGATCGCCGGGCCGGTCCACCGGGCCGGACCGCCGCTCCATATGATAAACAGAGGCCACCGAGCACCTGCAGTCGCTGAGGAGTTCGCGCCCGGCGCCCGGCGACATCTCATGAAAACGAAATAAACAGACAGCCGAGGCCGCTCGCGACAACTAAAGGGAGCAAACGCTGCGGGACAATAAGCTAAACTCGATTGATCAATTTACTTCTATTATGTATGTTTACCACGAAACGATCAAACGATTCTTAAAATGAGATAGCGGGTCATTTCGACCTACTGTAACGGCACGCATTACTACCGTGCACATGTTTGTTACTACAAATTTATATTCATCTCCTCGTACAAGTGAGTTTGCCTGAAGGCTGTATAGACTCACGATCTTCACAAGTATCTTCCTGAGTTCACAGGCTGGGGCTGGAGTGTAGGTGTGAATTTTATGTTTTACTTTGCCAGCTTGGCTTCACGCGTGAAGTGTCTGCTGAGCAGGTCGTTTGTCTAGGAGTATGAAAGTTTTATTTTTAGCCCAACTTCTAAAGCATTCGTCCCTTTCAGATGCAAACGTTACCAACTACAAAGAATTTGCTTTGTCTTGGAACAGGTATATTACATTACAGGCTATAAAAGACATGAGATTGGATTCGAGTAAAGCAATAGCACAGTTACCAGGCAATAGGCAGACAGGCGCAATGTTACCCGCTACACGCGCAGTGAAGAAAACACTGCCGCGCCACTCGGGCTCAACAGGTCCTGACTGGACCGGTGACCCACCGGTACTCACATCGCTGCGTGGCGAGGCCGCGGAGGAGCACCGCTCCGTCCGTGACGGGGCGGACGAGTGCCAGCGAGGGCGAACAAGAGAGAGCCAGAAGCCAGCAGAGCGAGAGCCCCCCCGACCTACGCCACGCGCGCGTATTTATACCGTCACACGCAGTGTGACGTCACAACCCGCGTACTTTCACGCAATCCGAGGGCCACAGTATAACATACTAACAAGTTATAACATACTAGTTTGTGCTAACTCACAAACTAACAAGATGTCAGATTTTCATATAGAATACCAGATAGGATATAAAGTCACACACTTTTTGTTAACAGTTAATATCATTACAATAAACAATGCGACCCGGTACCTCATCGTTGTTTATTGTACCAGACGGCCCGTATTGTTTCTCGTAATGTTACATTGCCAATTTTTAAACGTACCTAATGCAACCGCCAACCGACAAACAATGCAACTAGCATTATGTTTTCTGCTTTGGAAAACCCGTGAAACCACGTAAAATAGTGAACATTCTGCGACATACTCAGTTTTGCCTCTAACGTATCTTATCTTATATGTGCAATAGACCATGCAACCGCATCAAATCGGGTGACATACATCAGCTTAGAACCTGGCATATCGAACGTTTTGAAGTACACTAAATCATGCAGTGCGTGAGAATCGGTCCTGCAATAAGTTATTACGCACGTATTCACCGTATTACGTCGTAATATATTTCACACAAGGAATAATGCGATCGATCCGTATTCCAGGTCTGCTCCTATTTATTCATTGTTAGCTATACAGAGCTACAGGAGAAAAAGCCTGTTCCAATCCATCGCAGGGCTAATTACATAAATATAAAAACTACATGTTCTAAACGTCGGAGAAACGCGTACTTCACGTGGCACGGCTGTGCGGCGTGAAAGTCGTGACCTCGCGCGCCCGCCCGGTCTCGCCAGCGCGCCCGGCCCCAGGGTCGGGCTAAAGCCATCTCCTCGCGCTCCGTCCCGGGTTCACCGTCACGTCCCGAGGGGTCGGGCGAAGGTCGGTCAGTGGCCAGTGCGTAGGTTGCGACACCGTGCCGCCTCGCCGGTGCGTGTGGGCGGTACGGTCTCACCACGGCACCGGCCGCGGTCCACGCCGCCGCTGCGTGGTGTTGCAGCGAGCCTTGCGCCACCAGAGGCAGTGATGCAGGTCACATCCACCGCGATCGTGGCACGGTCACCGAAGGTGGCGGCGCCGGTCGCGCCCACCGCGACCGTGATTTTCTCACATAGGTACTAATGGGGGAGGCCGGAGGGACCGTACCGTGAAAAGCACGCCGGAAAACAAGGACAGGGACGGCGGCGGACTGGCCGGACAGTCGCGACATCTACTCCAAACTGTAGTTTCACCGAACGTCCGCTTGTAGCGTCTCAGTCGAGCCGTGCAGTCGCAATATATCTTCGCAACCGACCCACGGCTCCATGTTTTGTCCCCGATTTAATTTAACACTGGGGACAGCAACATAATTCCTCCACTTTATCTTCATTTAGAGCTTTGTGGTTTGAGCCAGCCGAGCTGATAGAACTTGGTCGTGTTTAACAAATAGACGCGACTGTAGCAATAAACGGCTTGTATTCAATTACGGTTCCCATTTTACATTCAAGCGGATTCGACATCGGCCCAGTTTTGTCCACAGTGATGTGGAACTTTTCGGACATGGAGGCTGTTGGACTATTGCCAAGGTTGTTCATCGTAGTTGAATAATCCAGACATGGAATTTATGGCCAACAAGTAAAGCTGTTCGGGAAATAACTGAAAATTTGTCACAGCAAAGTTCCGCTAACGCCAGCCATTATTTACGCTAATGCCTAATAGAAAAAATACCGAAGACAACCAACAATGCGTTAACTGTAAACATCACAGGAGTGTTAAGATAGGTCATCGATAACTTGCAGCTATGATCGCAGTGTTTGTACGACTGATCACAGATATTCGCCTCAGCCCGGTTCAGGCGGTAAAGCTCTTCAGCTTCAACACGAACCTAATGCAAAGAGCCATGAGCAGACCCCATCAACCATCAACAAGCGACCCACCAGTACCCTTCTGATACGTGACTGGTAACCACAGGGAGCAATAGAGTACGAGACAGAGAGCTTGCTCTCCACTCCCGGCACACAGTGCGGGCCAGAGCGACTCGCCTTGACCACTGGCGGCCGACTCGGCGTCCAACTGACCCGGTGTGGTACAGAACGGTGCTGAGACGTTCCATGACTCGTAGCTCGGCGATCACTACTCGCTGTAGACCCACCAGTCGCGCTCGTAGCCCTCCAACACGTGTCCGAGAAGCACCTTTCTGCGGCTTTCACAGTACCTGCCGCCCACAGGAGTAGTCTTTTGAGACGGGACGGGGGTGACGGA